CGTAGTAGACTCCCTCGTGGTAGCAGCCGCACTTCTCCATGGGCACGCAGCCTTGGCTGTCCCAGAGGAAGCCGGGGTCGCACTGGCAGCCCTCAGCACAGCCGTCGGGGCACTGCGGGGGGGCGCTGAGGGCCGAGCAGCCCAGCGAGCAGGTGTCCGCACACAGCTCGTAGTGGCTGTTGGGGGGGCACGCCATCGCTGCAAAGAGAGGGTGCTGGTCAGAGCCCCCAGGGGCCCAGGGGCTGCTCCTGTGCCTTCGTCAGAGTCCTCTCCACCCCATCATCTCCCCTCCCAACCCTCAGTCTCCCCTCTGCCCCTCGATACCCCGTCTACCTTCAACGTCCCCTACCCTCAGTGCCCCCGCTCTGTCCTCAGGCTACTCCCCCGCCCCCCCACTCACGGCAGAAAGCCTCGCTTCTCCAAGGCTCCACGTGGCCTCCGGCGGCCTGGCAGGCACTGACGTAGGCGTGGACGCTGCTGCAGAGGATGCTGAGGTTGCCCCCGCCCAGGCAGAGGTCGAAGACGCACTCCTGCAGGGGGCCCTGGGGGGCCAGCAGCTTGTGGCAGGCGGCCAGCGGCCCCGTGGGGTTGGTGAGGAATCCGCAGAACTGCTCCTGCTGGTACTTCTGTTCCAGGTCGGGCGGGCACTGGGTGCCCGGGGGGCAGCCCTCCTCGCCAGGCGCACAGGTGGGCGGTGGCAGGCAGGGCGAGCCGGGCACCGCCTCCTCCCAGGAGTTGCCGAACTCATTGGGGCCGCCTGCCTGGGAGCCATCCGGCTTCTGGAAGTCGTCCTGGGGGTCCCCGTTGTAGTTCCCGCACAGGCCACACAGCTGCCGGTAGTAGTTGCCGGGGATGGTGACCCGCACGTAGTACACGAGGTCGTAGGCCACGCGCAGGCCGAAGTCCGTCTCCACCACCACGTCTGAGCCGTGCTGGGAGGCCCGGATCCGGCTGTCAGCCAGCACCACGGGCAGCTTCATGTCCACGCCGTTCACCTGGGGGTGCAGAGGCCACGCCTCAGAGGGGGCACGTGACAGCCAAGCCCCCCGCCTGACACCCAGGATCTGTGTAACCTCGTCTCTCTGAGCCTCAGTTTCCCTAGGTGTAACACGGGTCTGATGGCAGTCTCAAGGGGCTAGCAACTTCACCAAACCGAAACACCAAACTCAGGGCCAGCGGAGTCCGAGCTGCCTTCAAACCACAGGGGAGGGCAGGGTCCAACTGCCCCTGACTGTCCCTCTTGATGGGAGTCGAAGCCCTGTCTTTCTCTCAGAGAGAGGCTGGTGGATTGGAATTGCAGCCCGACGCGTGGTCTACTCTGCCACCAGGGCTCCTCAAGACGTGGGACGGATCCGGGCACAGAGAGTCATTTGTAGCTGGTTTGGTGCACAGCAAGCCCCTGATACGGTCAGCGGTGTGCTGGCCCTCTCGTGGGCAACACTGCCACTAGGACAGGGGTCGGCGAACAGAACAGCCAATCCTGTCCCTCACAAGCATTTAACAATGATTTAAGAGCCCTAGCTATATTTTTACCGTGGGGGGAGGTGGGGGGCCCATGATGGGGTGGCGGGGTACAAGAGGGACGAATGTCCAGGAGTCCAGGAAGAAAAAGGATGGTTGGAAACGGCTGTGGTCGCAATGGTACAAGCCTGCCTGACGTGACCGGACTACGGACCATATGACAGACGCCATTGACTCCCCACGAATAAGAAACTTAAAAAGTAGATTTTGACAGACAAGGGAACTTTAAGATGCTATTGCCAATAGAACGATGCTCGGTTCAGTTTCACTGTCATTTCACGTCAAAGCCGTGCATATGTATGGCCCAAGAGCTGCGGTTTGCAGGCCTTGCGCCAAGGACAAGGGACCCTGGTGGAGCAGTGGTGACACGCCGGGCCGCGATCCGCATGGTTGGCAGTTCAAAACCAGCAGGAGTAAGACTGGGCTTCTGCTCCCATCAGTGGTTGTAGTCTGGGACCCCCACGGCGGGTCACCGTGAGTCACCATAGGTTTGATGGCAGTGTGGCTGGCCTTTCGGTCCTAGGACAGGGCTATGGGTCCCTCGGGGGTCTCACTCTGACTCAGTGCCCCTGTACTCACCCCTCTGCTCTGGTGTAGGGATGATGCCCAACTCTTCCCATGGGGGGGTGGGGGTGAGCAGAGAAGCAGAGCAAGACCCCGCCGGGTGGAGCGTGCTGCCCCCCTGTCGGGCTGCCCTGGGGTCCAGGCCTGCTCTGCAGGGGACTTGGGGCCAGTGGTGGGACCTCCCGTTTGGAGCGCGAACGGGCACCTCGCTCCCCACAGTCCCTGCGGTTCCTCACAAACCACCCGGTTAGGAAAGGCCCAGCAACCCTGGGGTCGGAGGTCAGCCGGACACCAGAGCTGCTGCCACGGTTGTCCCGCCCTCCCCTGTGGCCGAGGGGTGACAGGCCCAGCTGGGAAGGGCAGCACCCACCCACAACGTGTGCTCTGCTCTTGGGCCTTCCTGGCCTGGAACGTTCCAAACCTCGGACTGTGTCGTGCTGCCAGGGGCACTGGGCCCCAGCGGGTGTGCAGAGGATGGAGTTGGGCAAGGGTGGAGGACATGGTCAAAAGGTGGAGGGGCAGAGAGAGGGAGGCTGAGGGGCAGAGAGGGGGAGACAGAGGGCCTAGGAGGTTGGAGACTGAGGGGCAGAGAGAGGGGGAGACAGAAGGGAAAGATAGGGAGGTTCAGGGGGAGAGTGGAGAGGCTGGGCCACCTGAGGGGAGGCCCACGTCCTGAGGGGCTTCCTTCCTTGGCCCCTGGCTCTGCCTGACACTCCCAGGCCCCTCCCATTCTGAACTCCGTACCCCCAGCCCCCAGCTCTTACCGTGACCTGCCACTTATTCTGCTCCAGCCTCAGGGTGAAGTTGGCCACCTGGACGGTGATCACCCTGGTCACACTGACTTGCCCGTTGCCCCAGGCCACGTTCTCCTGCAGGACGGCGAAGGAGTGCAGGCCGGGCCGGGTCCCACAGGTCCGGGCCAGCGCGTACACGCAGGTGCCCATGAAGTCGTAGCGGTGGCCGTCAAAGGTGGTGTAGTGGGGGTCTCCCGACGCTTGGCAGGTGGCCGAGCCCACAGCCACGCAGCCCAGGACGCCGGCAGACGGCTGGCAGGCCTCGTGCGGGCCACAGCCGCTGGGCTCGCAGGACACCAGGCCACCCTCCTGGCAGTGGCAGAGGGACTCGCAGCCAGGGCCGGGGTAGAAGGTCTCTCCGGGTGGGTGGTAGGCACCTTGGTGCACGCAGCCGCAGGAGGCCAGGGGCACGCAGGTCTCGCCATTGAGCGCGAAGCCCTCATCACACACACAGCCCTCCTGGCAGTGGGAGCCACAGCCCCCGGGCACAGGGAGGTCTCCGCAGGACAGCGGGCAGCCGTAGGAACAGGCCTCATAGTGACTGTTTGCTGGACAGGTGGGTGCTGTGGGGAGAGGAGTCATCAGACCCAGAGTCCCTGCTCCCCAACCCCAACTCCAGTCCCCCCTCCATCTGGGCGGTCTCCCCAAAGAACACAACCAAGTAGAACCCCAACTGCGTCAGGCTGCCTGTGCTGCCCCAGAGGGTAGCCACTAACCCCCAAACCCAAACCATACTCCCTGCCAGCAAGTCCATGCCAACTGCACCCAGCAAGCCCATGCGACCGGGTCGAACTGCCCGGTTGGTTCCCGAGACCCTAACCGCCTACGGAAGCAGAAAGCCCTGTCTTTCTCCCGGGGAACGGCTGGTGGATTTGACACACCAGCCCAGCACATAGCCACGCCGCCGCCAGGGCTCCTGTCCTCCACTCGAAGCGATCGATGTCCACGAATTTGAATGAAATATGAGTGAGATTCAGCCCCTCAGCGACAGGAGCCACGGTGGTTCAGGGGCTCGCTAGCAGGCTGCCCTTGCCCACCGAGCAAAGGCTATGGGTCCCAGTCGTGGCCCAAATGCCAGTCTAGTGGCTGCCATGGTGTCCTCACAGGAGTGTCCGGCGAGAGGGCCAGCAGCCGTGGGTAGAGAAGGTAACCTTCCAGAAGGTGACCTGACATCGCGGGACATACCACGATGCCAAGAGGCGTGAGGTGACAGGACATGAGGCATCACCTTCCTAACACAGCCTATTGTCAGGTGAGCACCCGGAGGCTGGAGGCCAGGTGGGGCCCACGGCAACCCGCAAGAGGCACCCAGACACATCTCACTGCCTGCCCATCGGCCCCAATGCATACCAGCCGCTCCAGAGGGCAGGGTAGAACCACCCCTAGGGGTTTCTGAGGGTTTCTGAGACCGGCACTCTGCATGGGGACCAGAAAGCCTCCTCTTTCTCTTGCCAAGCAGCTGGTGGGTTTGAACGGCTGACCTTGCGTTTAACAGCCCCACGCAGAACTACTATGCCGCCGCCCACAGGGCCTCGCAGATGTCACACGGGGCCGGGAAGAACAGGAGCGAGCTCCTTGTACGGGCAACTCTCTGCCCATGCCTCCACCTGACCCCAGGTGACCAGGGGACCCGGGGCGGTCACTGCTCCCACGAATCTTTCCTGCGGGCCTGCCTGCCATCCCCAGTGTGCAGCTTCCCCCTCTGCCTGTCAGTGCTCACACGAATGAACGTGCCCGAGGCCCAGCCCCGCCAATACTCACGGCAGAACTCCTCGCTCCTCCAGGGGTGCACGGTGCCCCCGGCAGCCTGGCACGCGGCGGCGTAGGCAGCCAAAGCGTCACACAGTGCCCCCTGCTGCCCGGGCATCAGACACTGGTCGTAGACACAGTCCTGCACGGCGCCCTGTGGGTCCACCAGGCTGTGGCACTCGCGGAAGGGCCCCTCGGGGTCGGCGAGGAGGCCGCACTCCTTCTTGCTCTGCAGCTGCTCGGCCACCATGGAGTCCAGCTTGGGACAGTCACCCGGCTCGGTCGCCCCGCAGCCTGGCCTCGTCTCCTCCTGCCAGCTATTCCCGAAGTCCAGTGCGCTGGCCGCCTGGCCCCCGCCCTTCAGAGCCAGGTCATTCTTTGGGTTCCCGTCAAAGTTGCCGCAGAGCCCGCACAGGGCCCCGGCATAGCTGCCGGGCACCTGGGCTGTCACGCGGGCGTTCCAGTCGTAGGTGACCGTCAGGCCAAAGTCGGTGCGCACAACGCCATCGTTGCCTTGCCGGAACACCTGGATTTGCCCGTCTGCCGCCTGGAAGGGCAGATGCTGAAGGACACCGTCCACCTTGGGTAGAGATGGGAGGCAAGCGGGTCAGGGTCTTCGACGCTCTGTGGCCCACCCCACTCTGTCCCGGCTCCAGCCAGCCTGGCTGGCCGGCTCTTCTCCTGAGCACACCGTGGTCTGTCTCACCCCAGGGCTTCGGCACCGGCTGTGCCCTCGGCTGGCACACCCTCCCCTAGCGACTCAGCTCCAAAGCCCCCTCTCCTGGCTTTCCGAGCCTATATGGTTTGGCCTGTATCCCCCCTGCCCTCACTTCCACAGTCTCCTCCGCCTGTTCCGCTCTGTCTTCAAGAGCGGCCCTGGGGTGTAGTGGCTTAGAGTGGGGCCTCCCCTCTCCCCACGTGCGCCCCAGCCATGCCGACTGTGGCTTTTCCTGGAACTCACCAACCGGGGGTGTCCCTGGGAACCCCCACCGGGCCGAGGTCATGATCTCACACGTCTGTCTCGCTGTTGCTATCCCCCACCCCCCCAAGATAAGGGACTTGGCTGAGTGTCCAGTCCCTCATCTGGAATAGAAGGGTCCTGTCTGACCTCACCCCTGGCGCTCTTGGTGTCCTCCCGGTCACCCACCACATTGCTCAATCAGGTCCAGGCACCCTGACCTCCCTGCTGTCCCCCTGGATGGGGAAGGTGGCCTCCCAGTCCTGTTCCCGCTGTGGAATGCAGTGGCTCAGATCGTGGGCTCTGGACCCGGGTTGCCTGTGTTCAAATCCCAGCTCTGCCACTCCGGAGCTGTGTGTCCTTGTGAGGTGACTTAACCTCTCTGGTGTAGCAGCCTCCTCATCTACCAGGACGATTTGCTCACACGAGTTAACAGAGGCCAGGTATTCTGCACACAGAAGAAACTTACCACCAAACCCAGACCCGAGGTCATTGAGTCCATTCTAAAGGGTAAGACAGAACTACGCCTGTGGGTTTCAGAGACTATAACTGTTTATGGGAGTAGAAAGCCTCATCTCTCTCCCACAGAGCGGCTGGTGGGTTCGAACTGCTGACCTTGTGGTTAGCAGCCCAATGCGTAGCCACTAAGCCACCAGGGCTCCTTTTGATCCTAAGACTCAGAGAATCACAGTCACACAGCGAGGTGGGGAGACACTGACGCCTGTCTTGGGGACCCTAGACTTACCACTGGTCACAGTTTCTCCTTGGTCCCCCCCCCCAGCTCCATGTGGGGTCCAGAGCCTCTGCCCTTGGGGCGAAGGGTCCCCTGGGCATCCCCTGGGCTCACCAGCACTTGTCCGGGGTGCTCCCGCCGCAGGGCCACCACCACGCCACGGGCCTCCAGGCGCAGGGCGCGCGTGTAGCTGACCGTCTGACTGCCCCGGTGCTCGTTCTCCACCAGCACGCGGAAGGCGGGCAGCATGGCGTTCTGGCCACAGGAGCCGGCCAGCAGGTAGGTGCAGGTGCCCATGAAGTCGATGCGCCGGCCGTCGAAGCTCAGGTAGTGCGGGTCCCCGGTCGCCTGGCAGGTCCCGAAGCGGTCGGGGTAGCAGCCCAGCAGGCCGCCCTGGACGCTGCAGAGCTCGCCCGGGGGGCAGCCCTGCGAGTTGTCGCAGCGCACCTGCTGGGTGGTGCCGTCGCAGGTGCAGCGTTGCTGGCACTGGTCATCGCCCCACACCTCCTGGCCGGGCGCCAGCAGGCGGCCCTGGAAGATGCAGCCGCAGGACGCGGAGGGCACGCAGGCGCTGCCGCTGGCCACGAAGCCCGGCAGGCACACGCAGCCCTCCACGCACGGGAGGCCTGAGCAGTTGGCCGGCATGGCCACAGGGTTGCAGGTGGCCGGGCAGGCCGGACCACAGAGCTCATAGCGGCTGTTGGCAGGACAGGACAGGGCTGGGGAGGGGCAGAGGGAGAGAGAGGCCAGCCTTGAGGGGCGCTCCTTGGGGAGCCCCACTCCTCCCTCAAGACTCCCCTGCTGGTTCCCCCCTTTCATCCTGGGAAGGCCTCCAAGAGGTCATTGAACACTCCTGACCTCCAGCGGTCAATAGAATCTGCTTCTGACTCTGTGCAGACCCTTCCCCCTTCTCCGCTCGCCACTCTCCCGACCTGGTTCCATCCGTCCTGGGTCCCCTGCTCCCACTGACCCACAGGCTCCTCCCCACATGCAGCCAGAGGGGCCCTGGGGGCACGGGTCGAGGGCCTAAGCCCTCTTAAGGTGACCAGATTTTAACATTGGTAAAGCAGGACACCATTGATAAAACTCATATTCTGGTGAAATAGCCACATGGCAGTCGAAAACCATATACCCTAGCTTGTCGTGCATGCTTTTCAAAAATGCCGCGGGACGCGGGGAAAAATAGTTAAAAACCGGGACTGTCCCACCAAAAGCGGGACGTCTGGTCACCTTATCCTAAGGAGTCACCTCGCTGGCTCGCTGCCATCAAGTCAGTCCGACTCACACTGACCCCACAGGACAAGGTAGAGCTGACCCTGTGGGTTTCCAAGGAGGCAGCTCTTTACAGAAGTGGAAAGCCTCGTCTTTCTCCCTTGCAGCCACTGGTAAATTTGAACTGCTGACCTTGTGGTTAGCAGCCCAGCCCTTAACACACTGTGCCTCCAGGACACCTGGCTTCACCTGACTCAGGGTCAAAACCGAAATCCTCCAATGCTATCCAAGAGGTGCCCAGGATCTGCCCAAACCCCGCTCTGCCCCACCCCTTCTCTGGCCCCTCCCCTTCTGCCCCCTGCCCTCTCTGCCTCCACCCCTTTCTGTCCCCTCTCCTCTCTGCCCCAGCCCCTCTCTAAGGTTACCTCTGCCCCTGCCACAGGGCCCGCCTTCCTGTCCTCAGGCCCTCTGTGTTGGCCGAGATCAGGGCCCAGGGCTCGGCTGGCCTGGGTTCCAGTCCCAGCTCCCCCCTCTTAGCTGGGTGAGCTTCAGCAAGTGACTCCTGCTCCACTGTCCTTGTGCCTCAGTTTCTCCATCAGTAACATCAGACGGTGGCAGTACCGACCCTACAGGCTGCTGTGAGCACCTCAGCCCTGGCTCAGCTGACCCCACCCCATCGCTCCGGTCTTGACTTTCTGCCTTAATGGCATACCTGCTGTGTCTTTGCAACACCCACCCCCGCCCACCCCCACCCCACCCCCAGGGGTGACACTCAAAGCCCAACTCCCTGCCGACAACTCACGGTCACCCCAAAGGGCAGGGCAGAGCTGCCTGTGTGGGCTTCTGAGGCCGGACCACACCTGCGATCCGTCCACCCTGACTTCCACCACCATGCCCCGGGCATCGTCCACGCCAGGCTGGACCACAGGAAGTGGCCTTCCCTAGCCAGCTGCCAGCCCCACCGGGGCCACCACTTACGACAACTGGCGGGTGACCTCCAGTCCCCGACGGCGATGCCGAGCTCCAGACAGGCCTGGGCGTAGGCGCTGAGGCTGCGGCACAGGCTGAGCCGGTCCCCGCTGGCTGCACACAGGTCGTACACACACTCCTCCAGGAAGGGCTGGGGGTTCAGGCTGGCGTGGCAGGCGGCGAAGGGGCCTCCCGGCAGGGCCAGCATGCCACACACACGGTCGCCCTGGTAGTGCTGGGTCTGGCCGGGCGTGCAGGAGGGACAGTTGTCCTGGCAGCCGTCCTGGCACAGGTAGTCGCCATCATCCAGTTTCCAGCTCTGGCCGAACTCCTCGGCGTTGGGCGCCTGGTCCCAGTTGGGGGTGAGGAAGTCGTCGGCGGGGTCTCCGTTATAGTTGCCGCACAGCCCGCACACCTGATCTTGGAAGCGCGTGGGCAGGCTCAGGGCCAGCTGGCAGTCCCAGTCGTAGCTGACCACCAGGCCGAAGTCCAGCTCCACCACAGCCCTCGGCCCGCTCTGGTACACACGCAGGCGACCGTCGTTGAGGGACACGGGCAGGCGGAAGCGCTGGCTGTCGATCTACAGAGAGGGGGTGAGGAGAGGGTGGTCAGCACCCCCTCCAGGTGGTCTGGCCTTCAGTCCTCTCACCTGCTTGCACGAGCTTTCTGTCTGTCACTGCCCCTGTCTGAGCTTGGCCCCCTCAGTCCCCATGGTTCTCCTGGTCTGAAAGATACCCCCACCCTGAGCTGTCCATGCCCCCTCCCTCACCATCTGCAAACCCTCGGCCCCCATGCTGCCGCCTCACTGAGCCTTTGTATCCCCTGAGCACCTGCCTTCAAGGCCACCCTGGGGCGACATCTAGGGTGCCTCCTAGCCCGGTGCTCCCAGCAGCTGTGGATGCTCCTTAAGCCACGGATGCCGTGAGGGCTGACAGGCAAGGCCACGTGGCGGGCAAAACGCCACCCACGAGTCCAGGCAGCTAAAGACCCCCGGGGCCATCGCCATGTCGATAAAATAGCAAACAGCCAAGCCTGTGACTTTGAGTCGGAGTTGAGGTTTTAAATCACGTCAGTGTCTGTCGTGGTTACGCGCGGGGCTGCCCACCGCCAGGTCCGTGGTTTGAAACCACCAGCTGCTCTGGGTGGGGGGGTGGGTCCCAAGGCTTTCGGCCCAACAAGACTGACAGTCTCGGAAACCCACAGGGGCAGTTCTACCCCGTCCTATAGGGTCGCTGTGAGTCAGGATCGACTCTGTGTGTGCCTGTGAACAAGTTGATTGAAAACCGAATGGTATAATGGGCTCTTTGAAGCCCCTTGCACATATCTCTGCGCATGGAATTTCCAGACAAGGAGCAGCGGGCCCCCCCATCCCCTTGGGGGTCCCTCGGCGGAGGGCTTGGACTCTCCCACCGGGGCTTCTCTGAGCAGCCTCTGGACACTCACCCGGGCGAAGCCCGCCTCCCCGCGGGCCAGCGACACGGCGTGGCTGTAGGCGCGCACGGTGACGAAGCCCACGTAGGACACGCGCCGGCTGCCGCGGTGCTCGTTCTTGGCCTCCACGCTGAAGGCCGGCAGGCTGTCGTCCGTGCCGCACAGCTCGGCCATCGAGTACGTGCACGTGCCCATCATGTCGTAGCGCCGCCCGTCGAACGTGGTGTAGTGGGGGTCTCCCTGGGCGCGGCACGTGGCCGTGGGCTCCGCCACGCACGTGGCCTTCCCGCCCACCACCTGGCAGTGCTGGCCAGGGCCACAGGTCACGCCTTCGCAGGAGGGCTCCTGGGGGGCGATCAGGGCTGGGAGGGTGGGGGTAGGGAGTCAGTGGGTGCACGCGTGCTTGTGAGGGTTGGGCTTTCCCAGCCCTCCCCAGCGGGCCAGAGAGACCCCTGGAAATGACTCCAGTGCCCCGGAGCCGTTATGTTTGCTTGTGCTAGAAGCCCCCCCCCCCCCCCCCCCGTCTAGGCTTCTACCTGGGGCAAAGGGGCCCCACAAGAAGAAAAGCACTTTCCTCACCTGCCGTCCAAAGCTCCTGCTTGCCCACCTCTCAGAGAGAGCGAGGGGTCACCCTTACCTCACCCCTTACAGGCCCCCCCCCCGAGAGCCCCACAAGTGCCAAGTCTGGTTCACCCCTGCTAACAAGAGGGGGGCACTTACTACCATCCTCGTGGTGTAGGTGTGGAAACAGAGTCCCCCAGAATTGACGTTGCTGGCCCAGACCACACAAGCAGAGCTGGGGTTTGAACCTGGCCCCTCTGATGCTGGCACTCAGAGAACCAACCCCCTTCCCCCGCCCCAAACCGGGACCCTCTGGGACGGGGCAGAGCTGCCACAGTGGGTTTCCAAGAGACTGTCCAGTGCGGGGTAGAAAGCCTTGTCTGCTCCCGCTAGCAGCGGCTGGTAGGTTCAAACTGCTGACCTTGCGGTTAGCAGCCCAGCACGTAGCCCTGTGCCACTGGGTGCCGCTCGTGCCCTCAGAGTACCCGCTGTGCTGCCTGCTGGCAGTGCCCCCAGGCGTGAGCCTGGGGTCAGACGTGGGCTCGGGATCTGCAGGCACAATAGGAAGGACTCGGCGAGCACTAGAATGGTCCCTGGGACATGGAGAAGCAGGTGCCCCAACATTTGAGTCACCCTGACCAGGTGCTTTCAGGGGACCCGCCTCTGCTGGAAACAGCCCTGCAGGATACGGGGCAGGAAGGAGTAGCCGTTATTACTGTTAATAGTCTTGTTATAACTGTCGTGGTTGCTGAAATTGCCAGATACCAAGAAGCTGCTGAGTGGAGCACCCCAGGGATCCCCCTTCTTGACCCCCAAGCTGACCCCTAGAGCCCTGTGCCCGGTCTCCCCACAAACCAGCAGCTGAAGGGTGGGCACCGTGGGGGCTGCTGGGACCCCATGGCAAGACCCTGTCTGGCAGGTTGTCTGAGGGTGCTGCCCTGGTCCTTGGCACCGATAGGGTGGGGGAGACCAAGAAGTCTTAAAGGAGGGGGGTGGGAAGGGTGCAGTGAGGGCGGACAGTGTAGCTCAGCCAGAACCCCCAGCAGAGCAGAGGAGGGGAAAGGGGAGAGTTGGGCGGGATTGCCTGGGGGCTCAACAGGTGGCCAGGGCCAGGGGTCATTTTCTATCACTCACTCCGTCCGCAGGCAGCTGCTGTCCCGAAGCCCATGGTCTCAGCCAGCCCGAAGATGAGCAGGCCAAAGTCCGCAGTGGCCTCTGCCACATGGGTCTTGTCCGTGGTCCCGAGGTCCACCTCAGCGTATGAGAAACTGCTACCGGGCACCGGTGTCCAGGTGGCCTTCTTGCCCAGCGGCTGTCCATCCAGGGTCAGCCCCTCCGCAGCCTGGGTTGGTGCCACCACGAGGGCCAGGCTCTCTGTGCCCGGCACGCTCTTGACCACGTAGGCCGGGCAGTAGGCTGCCACGTCTGGGATCAGGACCAAGAAGGGGTTATAGGTCATGCCGTCCTTGGTGGAACCTGTGCCGAACAGCAGGACCTGGACGCCCACGTCCGCTGTCAGGTATAGCGGGTGGGTGGGCCGCACCTCGAACGATGCCACGTTGCCTGCCTGGAGCTCCTGGGAGCTGGCGGAGCCCCCGTGGTTGTAGGTCAGCTTGGTGGCCTGGCTGGCCACCACGTAGACCATATCGAAGCGAGGCTGGGAGGCCAGAGAGGGCACCACGTAGCGGGTGCCCCAGGAGGACGTGGGCAGCAGCTGTTCTACCACATGGTTGCAGTTGGTGTGCTTCTGGGCGCAGCTGTGGCCGGAGAGGACGGCCACGGGGTGGCTGGCCGTGATCTTGGAGCCCGAGAGGTCCACCGTGCTCTGGACCTGGGCCACAGCAAAGGGCTCTAGCGTCACGCTCAGGACACTGCCTGCCGAGTAGACCTTGTTTTGGAAGATCACCGAGCCCTTCAGCTGGACACTGACCGCGGCTCCCGCCGGCCCGGCCACCACGGCGAACTCCTTGAGGTTAGTGACCGACGAGCCCGGCGGTGTGAGGACAAAGTACTCGGTGCCCAGGGTGCTGGTGGGCCGCAGCACCGTCACCTCCGCCGTGTTGGGCTTCCCGTTGATGGCCTGCACCGAGACGGTGCGGTCTGAGTGGACCACCACGGCCCGCTGGAAGATCTTGCTGCCAAACATCTCAGCCCGGGAGCTGAGGTTGACCATGACCGACTCCCCGGGCTTCACCGTGATCTTCTGCGAGCTGTTGTCTGTCCGGCTGAGGACGGAGACGGAGGCGGGGCTCTCCGATAGACTGGAGATGAGCAGGCTCAAGTGAGCCGCGATGTGCCCCGGCTGGTAATTCTGCAGGAAGGCGGTGAGGAATTCCTCCCCTCCGGCGGTCCTGGGCCCCACCGCAGCCTCCTGGGTGAGCCCTGGGGTGGGAAAAGGCGGCTGAGCAGTCCTCCCCACCAGAGAGCCATCCCCCTTGCCTGGATCATGGATGAAAATACCCATGTGGGCTCTTTCCCTGCTCCTTGGAACCCTGGTGGCATCGTGGGCTGCCCTGAGTTGACACCCCGGCCACTCTGAGGAGACAGATCAGGCCATCTACTCCCATGAAGATTTACAGTCTTAGAAACGAACTTGGCAGTTCCACCGGTCAGTGTAAGTCGGCTCGACTCCACAGCACGGGGTTTTGACAGCAAGCTCCAGGGGGCCAGGTTCAAACCCCAGCTCTGCTTGTGGGGTCTGGGTGGGGCAAGTGACTTCCGTTCTAAGAGACCCTCTACTCCCGAAAAGATTCCCTGCCTTGGAAAGCGGCAGGGGCGGCCCTGCTCTGTCCCGTAGGGTCGCCGAGTGCAATCGATTGGAGGGGCAGTGGGTGTCCAGTGCGGCCCAGCCCAGCCCAGGCGGGAATGGTGGAACCCGTGCCGGCGGCTCCCTTGTCAAGAGGGTGGCCGCCACTCGTCCGACCAACCATTGTTCAGTCAGCGCAAGAGTGCTGGTGGTGTGGCGGTGACAGGCTGGGCTGCCGGCCACCAAGATCAGCAGTTCGAATCCACCAACCTCTCCTTAGGAGAAAGGTGAGGCTGTCCACTCCCATAAGGACTGACGGCCTCAGAAACCCACAGGGGCAGTTCTACTCTGCCCTAGGGGGTCTCTGACTCAGCATCAATTCGAGGGCAGGGAGCTCGGTTTGGTTTGGAGCTAAGTCACCTGAGATTCCTGGGGACACCGTGAGTGAGTCCAGGTAGACCTGTGCCCCCCGGGGGCAAGGGTGGGGTGCCGATCTTTCCAAAGCAGATCACCCTCATTTCCAGGGGCGGGTGTATAGACGGCACTGAGTAGCCAAGGGCCTTCACTACCCAGGCAGCCTGCTATGAACTCTAGTCTATTGTTTGGAAGGCTCACAGGCTAATTTCTTTTCTTTCTTTCTTTTTCTTTAAGCCAAGTCTTCCCAGAGTTCAAGAGAAGCTGGCAACCTGACATATTATTATTATTATTATTATTGAGACTTTTTGGTTTTTCCCCCTCATGGTGGGAAGCTGGACTTGCCTGCTGGTTTGGGATGACTGTCTTCATCAGCCTTGGGAGGAGGGGTGGAGAGGACAGAGGGAAGAAGAGGATTCTGAGAGTGTGGACCTTGCTGGCTGTCTCCTGGAGACTGACGGGAGAGGGCTCTTCTCCACATCTCCCCTCCCTCCCCCCAGTTAGGAAGAGACATGGAGACCCAAAGCCTATCGGTAGACAGTTGGACACCCACTGTCAGACGGGCCACAAGGAAGAGACGAGCCAATCAGGGTGTAGTATAGCACAGACAAAACACACAACCTTCCTCTAGTTCTTTAATGCATCCCCCCCCTCCACTATCATGACCCCAGTTCTATCTTGCAAATCTGGCTAGACCCAAACATGTATGGTGGTACAGACAAGAGCTGGCAACACACAGAATCCAGGACAGAAAGACCCCTCAGGACCAATAAGGGGGCAACGATTCTAGGAGGGAAGGGAGGGAGGCAGAATAAGGGGGAACCGATCACAATAATCAATGTATGGCCCCCCTCCCAGAGGAACAGACAGTAGAAAAGTGGGTGAAGGGAGACAGCGGTTGGTATAAGACATGGAAGAAAAAGAATAGTTCATAAAGTATCGGGACATGAGGAAGGGGGGGGGGGGAATGAGCTGATACCAAGGGCTCAAGTAGAAAAAAAATGTTTTGAGAATGATGATGGTAACAGATGTACACATGTGCTTGACTCAATGGATGGATGGATGGATTGTGAAAAGAGTTGTATGAGCCCCCAATAAAATGATGAAAGAAAGAAAGAAAGAAAGAAAGAAAAAGATGATGACAATATATGTACAGATGTGTTTGACACAATGGATGGACGGATGAATTGTGGTAAGAGCTATAAGAGCCCCAATAAGACAAAAAATAAAGAATGGCTTGTCCCCACCAGTCCAGCAGAATAAAGACCCAGAGCGGAGCCTCCAGTAGCTTGTAGGAAGCCCCAGGGGATGGACGGTAGTTCTTATGTACACTTGAATTTGGGGTCCAAGGTTTTTTTCGCAAGAGGAGTGGGGGTGGACTTGGGGAGCCAATAATGCACTAGGACGAATTGACTTTAAATACGACTGAACTATGGAAATGTATGATATGTGGATTATACCTCAAGAAAACTATGGCATGGGGGAGGGGGTGGGCAGGGGCGGCAGGGAGAGTGGAGGTGGGAGTCCACTGCGTGGCTCTGCCTTGTCAAAGGACGTGAGTCCTTTCTGTTCCTGCAAGGACCCGCATCCATCTCAACGCGCCCCAGGGGGTTGGGGGGAGATGGGCTTGGGGAGGGGGCATAAGGAGAGTGACTGGGAGCACTTACCGCCCAGGAGGGTTACTGCGGCCCAGAGCGTCCACCAGCTCCACAGGGAACCCATGTCTGCAGAGAGGAAAACGAGACCTCACCATGGAGATAATGTCCTCGTGAAGACAGAGGGTCCACCCTCATGACAAGGGCCACCTGAGGGTGACGCCGGCTGGAGTCAAGACCAATCTATAGGTGGGGAGCTGGCTGCCCAGGAGGAGTTGGGGGTTGGGGTAGGGGATTAGTTACAGGGGCAAGATTGGGGAGCTGGCTGCCCAGGGGGTTGAGGGCTGAGTAAGGGGGGTTAGTTACAGGGAGAAGAATAGGGAGCCGGCTGCCCAGGGAGTCTAGGGTTGGATGAGGGGACTGATATGGGGGCAAGATTGGAACGCTGGCTGTCAGAGGGTCTGAGGTGGGACGGGAGGGTAGTTGCTGGGACAAGGTTGGGGAGCTGGCCGCCAGGCCATCTGAGGGCTGTGAGGAGAGGCCTGGTGTCCCCTCGGGAGGAGACCGGTGTCTCACCTGCAGGTCCCTGGAGCTGTAGGGCCAGCCTGTGGGCTGGGCTTTTATAGCAGTTCTCTGGCCCCTTTAGGTCACGCCTTGGGCCACCTGCCGGACAGCTGTGCTGCCAACTTCCCGGAGGCGGCCACTGTTCTCAGGGCCCCAAGAGATGAGGGACCCGAGGGCATGGGAAGGGTGTGGAGCGAGTGTGGAAGGCGGCTGGGTCCTGGGAGGGGCACTAGGACAGCTGGTGGCTATGCCTGGGAGCTACCAGAAGCCTCCTTTCTGGGAGGGTCTTGTGCCCGAGGGAGACAGCTGGGGAGCAGGGTGCTAAGGAGCTGAGCCTCTGGGAGGGGGTAGCAGGAGGTGGTGCTGGTCTTGTTTGCTAACTGACCAGCTTCCTTCCTCACGTTCCTTCCAGAAAAACCGAAAGGACCCATTCCCGGATCCTGGCAGCTCCCCAGTCCCCAGGAGCCACCAACCCCTGGTTCCCAGCCACCCACCTACGGCCTGTTTCTAGGCACCAGGAGGGGACAGGTATCAGAGGCTGACGTAGGGATCTGAGGTCCCGAGCCAGGCCGGGTGGTGGAGGCTTCCTGGGGCCCCCATGGGTGAAATGGACACAACAAATGTAGCTCCCTGGACTGGTCTCTCCTGCAAAGGGTGCTCTGTAAATGCTCACGGGCTGGATTTGGATGGGAAGTGGAGAAGGGGGCCGGGCGGTGTGTGAGGAATAAAGACCGCGTTTCCTGGTTCTGCACCCAGATCCAGGGCATACTTCCTGGAGCGGGTTTTAAATTTTACTTATTTTGTCCTCAAGAGGTACTGACTAACCAGACCTTGGGTGACCACCTTGTTGCCTGAGGTGGGAGGCAGGTGGAAGTCCAGGACCCAGGGCAGCGGAGAGGGGGAGCTGGCTATGGAGCAGGAGTCAGCTCCTCTCCAGGGGAGGGGCAGGGCTAACTCCTGACCTGCTTCCTCCTCCCACCATTGGGGGCTCCCTGTTTGCTGGGGAGGTGGCCCCAAGTGTGGCAGCAGCTGCAGGGCCTAGCACATTATCCTGAAGGGCCACACCCCTGCTGGTTCCAGCACACCCTCCTCCCTTATCACCCAGGCCTGGGTCTCTGGGTGGCCTATGTGGGTTCCCCCTGGAACTCTGGAATTCCCTGCTTCCTGCCCCCACCCCAGGGCAGTTCCCAGAGGCAAAGATAAAGACTCAGAGTTGACAAGAACCTACAGTGAACCAGGAACATGCAGTGAGCACACAGGAGCCTGGCTAAACAGAGATAACAAGAAACAGTCAGGGGTGGGGGGCTCCAAGGAGGGATGGGAGCCTTGTGGGGGAGGGCTGCCCGGGTCCCTGAGGGAACTCAGGGCTGGGGAAAGGAGATTCCGGGATTCCTGAAGGATTGAGAGCCAAGGTGTCAAAATCCTCTGGGTCAGAGAATTGAGAGGTGGACCGAGAATCAGGCTAAGCTCTAGGGGAGATTCTGGCTCTGAGCTCCTCTGTGCTTCCGGGTCTTGTCTGGTTCACCCCAGGGAAAAGCTGGTCTCCCATCTCAATGCTCTGGGGAAAAAAACCCTCATCACCATCTGCAGAATGTATTCCAGGCTCCCCCGAAATGGACAGATGGGGGAAACAGATGGGAGATCTTAGAAGTGAATCCCAGGTACCTAGTTAAAACAAACAATCTTGATGCTAGGTTTACTACAGCAATTTCCATCGTAACAAAAAGATGGAATGGACCAAAAATCCCGATGATAGGGGGATGGATAAACAAACTCCGGTACTTTCATAGAATGGACTATCCTCGCTCACGGCTATTGAGTCTATGCCAACTCATCGTGACCCTAAAGGAGAGGGTAGAACTGCCCACCCCACCCCCGCCCCAACCAGGGTTTCCAAGACCGTAACTCTTTATGGGAGCAGGGAGCCCCGTCTTTCTCCCTTGGAAGGGCTGGTGGCTTTGAACTGATCACCTTGCTGATCACAGCCCAAACCCTGCCCACTGAGCCACCAGGGCTCACCATGGAATATGATACAGCAATAAAAAAGCAACACGGCTCTTCTAAACCCGGCAAGACATGGGCAAGATTAGAGACTGATGCTTAGCAAAGTCAGTCAACCTTATAAAGGCAACACCTAATGGCATCAATCTTAAAACAACCATGGTTTTTGACCCGGTGCAGGAGGAGGCCTGGGCAGGGGGCGGGGGCGGGGCAGAGTTTGAGATTGCAGAAGGGAGGGAAGGAGGGAGACTGCAGAAAGAACCCCATTCATGGGGAGTTTGGTGGGGTACTCTTGCGAGATGGGTTATGCAGCTACGCACTACTTTTCTTTAAAACCCAAAGTAGTAAGTTACGAGGGAGGAGGTTGCCGGTCTGCAGGACCCCGCAGGTGGCTGATCCCTGAGCAGCTCTTACCCTGAAGTAAGACACACAAGGTCATTTCAAACATGTGAACATGAAACAAGACAGAAAGTCTCGCTGAGGGTCCCGTCCACCCACTCCCGGGGTGCATTCCCACCAAGCCGTGTGGAGTGGCCCCCCGCTGTGCATCTTGGTGGGTGGGGGGCTGCGGGGCTCTCTGCCCCTCACCCCATGCCGGGGCCTGCAGGGGTGAGGTCTGGTTACCGTGCTGGCCCGGCTGCAGGCCCGGTGACATGCAAGGCAGAGAGGTCAGGCTCAGAACCTTTACATCTTTTATTGATTTTTTAAAGGGGTGTCACCTGGGTGGGTTTTCTCGGGGGACGCAAGATGATTGCAGGAGTTCACGGTGAAGCAGTTTTAAGAAAATTGAAGCTTGCACCAGTGAGACAGAGGCCAGGAGGCTTGTACTGGGGGATCCCCCTCTCCCCACATGACAGTGCACCTGCTTTCTCGGAGGGTAGCAAGGGATGATCTAGGAGGATTTCACTGGGAAAAACTTCCGCCATTTACTCCTCATCTCCTTTTGGATGAGAACGGCTATTTTGAGACGGGGCGATGGAGGCCTTATGCGGTGCGCTGCCACCCACGAAGCCAATGGTCCGATCCCACTGGTGCTCAGAGATGAGGCTGTCTACTCTTGGAGCTATTTGCAGCCTCAGAAAACCCCGGGGGCAGTTCTGCAGGGGATTTGACTGGATGGGAGTGGCTGGGTAACACCGTGCCCAGGGAGGATCCTCCGGAGGAAGGGCTTGAGAGACGGAAACACCACCCTCAGAAGTGTGGGGACCCAGGTGGAGGCAATGTCAAGAATCATGAACTTCCCATCTTGACCTGGTCGGATCAAGTTTTCTGTGGCTTGGTGGTACCATTTATTTTATTGACCCTCAGATCTTGTGCCCTCTGTGTATGCCTGGCCCCCTGGGGCTGGCTTTCCAGGTTCACATTAGCTCAGGGATCAGCCACCTGCGGGGTCCTGCAGACCGGCAACCTCCTCCCTCGTAACTTACTACTTTGGGTTTTAAAGAAAAGTAGTGCGTAGCTGCATAACCCATCTCGCAAGAGTACCCCACCAAACTCCCCATGAATGGGGTTCTTTCTGCAGTCTCCCTCCTTCCCTCCCTTCTGCAATCTCAAACTCTGCCCCGCCCCCGCCCCCTGCCCAGGCCTCCTCCTGCACCGGGTCAAAAACCATGGTTGTTTTAAGATTGATGCCATTAGGTGTTGCCTTTATAAGGTTGACTGACTTTGCTAAGCATCAGTCTCTAATGTGTGTGTGTGGTGGAGGTAGACCACACCCCTGTGCATATAGATTTTCAGAAACACCATCCGTGACCCCGGAAACCCTCTCTGGAGACACTTCCTTATGGTCAAAGAAACCCTATCTCTCCCACCACTGGCAGCCTGGCTCTGAACCCAAACAAGAGGTGTTTGTGTATCTGAGTCTTTCGGCCTCTCCCTGGGGCCTGGGCGCCTCGGGCCAGTCGGGGCTGTGCAGAGCCGGACACAGGAGCACTCTGTCCGGTGACATTCAGGCTCCCTGCCAAGGTCCCCCTTCTTTCTTCCCAGGCTCTTCATCTTCCCAGGGGTCTCTACACAACCTTGGGAAGTGCTTCCATTTGGTACATGCTGCTCCACTAACCTCTCGCCTCCCCGAGGTTCAACCCTGATCCTGTGCCTACACAAGGACCTTCCCTGGTCCCCCGGGGCAAACTCTTGATAGAGTATCTCCAGGATCTATTGGATTGGACAGCCCCACCCCTTCCACTCCCTGTGCTCCAGCCTCTGTGTGATGGTGCACGCAGTTCCTTCCCATTGGGACACCCCTTCCTCAGCTTCGACACTCTCACTCCACACTTCTGGGAGCCAGGGTTCACTTTCTGGGGACTCCTTCCTTGAGAGCCTAAACCAAAGCAGATCTTCATGAAAATGCCTTTTCTCTGCCCCC